AAGATGCTCAAAAACAAGGTCTTTTCAAACAATTACATTCATGGACCAGCTGAAGGAGTCGATGAAATTAATGAATTTTCTGCTTCCCCAACAACGGATGTTAGAATTGATGATGACTATGCAGACATTGAAAACTTGCATATTCAAAGCTTTTATGATGCTTCATTTACGGAAGACTTAAGTAGCCCCCTTAATTATAGTGACGGCTCGAGTCACGTCATAGATTTGGCACGCCAAATCCACTCATCAAATCAGATATTCAGAGAAGAGTCGATTAACTCGCTGGAATGTTGCCAACGTATCGGTCACGCTAACCGTGCAGAACAAAAACTAATAGCAACATGTAATATTAATAAGAGTAATGTGTCACCGCTAATATCGGAGCCTGCATCGAGTTTATCGGAGCATTTGGTACAACTTACACCTATTCATTTGCCACCAACTTTTGATGAGGTATTGGCAAGTTGTGTCAAACTGGACATTCCTGAATACGAATTTCAAAGGCCCTTCTACGGCAATCCGGACGATATAACACAGCTGAAGGAAGTCGGACATATAGTCTTGCATATTCCAGGTAATCCAAAATTTTTGAAGCTTGTTTTATTTATATATATATATATGGGTGATTCCATACAATATTTACACTTCAATATTTTTTTTTTTTGGGTGAAATATATTTTTTTACATTTTTTATCGAAAAAAAGAAGACACCTATTTTTTTATTTCGTCATGACATTCGAAAATCTCGAAAAAAAATTCACAGAGAAGTACCTTTTTTTTAATTGTTTGCAGTTAATAAACTATTTGTTGTAGAAAATCAGTTAAGGTATCAAAATGTGCGTAATTACCTCGGCTTTCCATGAGAGCGTGAGATAGATTTAAAAAAAAAATGCATTAAAAAATCGAATTTTTTATTTTTTTATTAACTTCTTCATGTTTGGTTTTTATTTTGTTCAACCTGAATAGTTGTCAAGCTTTATGGAGTAAGCTGTAAAAATTTGAGAATGGAAACACCAAAACTGTAAAAGTTACGAGTTTTTTTTATACCTACGTACATAAACTTTAGTATACACTTTAGTTTATTATAAACGTTAGGTTATTTTAATCAATCTCATACTCTCATGGAAAGCCGAGGTAATTACGCACATTCTGATACCTTAACTGATTTTCTCCGACAAACAGTTTATTAATTGCAAACAATTAAAAAAAAAAAGATACTTCTCCGTGACTTCAAAATTTCGGGATTTTTTTTTGTTGAGATTTTCGAATGTCATGACGAAATAAAAAATAGGTGTCTTTTTTTCGATAATGAATGTAAAAAATATATTTCATCCAAAAAAAAAAATACTGAGGTGTAAATATTGTATGGAATGACCCATATATACATATATATGTAAATACAATACATATATCGTCGTTTAAAGTACAAAACCTCGTATCAAGATAATTCAAAATGGCGTATGTGATGTTGCGTAAATTTTGCAGTAAACCTGTCTTATTTCAAAACGGTTATCTCAAGAAAAAGTTGGTCATCTGAGTGGAAGTCCTGAATACCAGGTCAGCAAAATACTATGAATAGGTCATAAATAAAAATAAACTGCTTAGTATACTTAAAGAGATTTGGTAAAAAAAAACACCCTAAAGAACTATTTTCCAAAAATATTTAGACTTACTAGACAATTTTGGTTGCCGGCAATAAGAAAACGTGTCCCCTCATCAACAAGTTTATTTATTTATTATCGTCATCGTATCGATTTCTTAAGCCGATGCCAGATAAAACTTTGTGGCTTTGCGTGACGCAAAGGTATTCCACAATGAACGCCAAGAAAACAATTTTGTGCTGCTTTTTTACTCTTCGAAATTGCTGTGAATTTCATATATTTAGCTTTAAAATGATCAGCAATGCAGTTAAGTTTTATGTTTCTGCATGAAAACTCGAATTTGAACGAAACAAAATAAATATTCAGCCCCATTGCGTGAGTCGTAAATTAGGCTAAATTGTACGACTCGACAACATTGGCATTGTCTACTGTCGTGCAGAAATAAGTAAACGACGAAAATCGTCGAAAAATATGCAGTGCTGCCAAGTTTTTCCGCATTAATACACTAGTCGAGTGGAAATTTCAGGCAGTGACGTGAAGTTTTCGATACGATTCGACTCTCGTAAAACGACTTGCATTCGGTACGACTCTCGCAATGAGCAGTAAGAGCTAGTACCGTCCGAAAGCTCAACAGTACAGATATATCAATTAATTAATTTTTGTATTTTTTGGATTATGACACTATTGAAGTAAATTAGCGATATGTATGTACATATTTGTTATTTATATGTAAATAACAGGAAGCAAGCTTAACGACTGCGATGAATTTAAAAGTGTTCTGGGCGATGAACTCCGCGGCCTTACTGACTGGCGCCGTCGGAAACTGTTGGCGATTAGCGGTCCTTCCGCACTCACCATACCATTTCAACGCAATACTCAAAGCGTTCGTGAGTACTTAGCCGAACCTAGAAAAATAATGATGACACCTTTAATTAGTCCGCCAACCCGTCAATATGCCAAGTTGTGGCTGAAGGCCCGCGCGCTTTTGTCCAATGATGCTGAATGTACTCAGCGGAAAGGTAGTTTGGAGGAAAGTCCCATAAAAGTAAGACGTCAAAAGGTAGCAATGATATTAAACGATAACGTGGGCGGAGAAGGCGAAGGGGACGTGCTGGACAATACAAATTGTATTACACTTACGCCGCCAACGCCAGCAGGTGATTTGAAAAAAACAACCAAATTAAAAAATGCGGCCCTTACAAGTTCGGATGCAAGTTTCAAATCTCTCAGAGGATGTGCGAAATTCTCTTTAGATAAACGGTTCATGGCCAGTGCCAGTGCTGGGTTGGGCGTCCCATCATCAGATGACAGCTTAGCGGCTTCTCAAATAGCGAAAGCTATAAGCGAGAAACCTAGGGCTTCTAACGATTCCACCGTATCAAGTCAAACCGTGTTGGATGCACTGAAACGACACTCATTTGTTAAAGATTTGCAGGGGAGCCCCTTGCAAGCGCCCCACAACCTCAGCTTCGGTTTAAGCAGCGCGTCGCTGGACAACTCCTTCGGCTTCAAAGTTAATTTAGAGAACTTGCAGCAAGCCAAAGCCGATGTAGAGGTAATATATGTATATGGAAAACTCGATGCTATATCGGCTAAATTTCAACTAAATTCTAGTGCAATTATATAACAACAGTTGTTCTTGAGCTATTTGTACCCACGCGCGGTAATCTGCTGCCAGATCCAGCGTTCGATGAAGTGCGTTGCCTCTTTTACGCCATCGAACATCGCTCGCCAGCAACGCCAAACGAAGGCACCGCTCATTTGCCACAAAATGCCTGTGGCTGCATCATTGTGAAGGATATTGACAGTGAGCGGGACTGCCGCATGTTCGGCACGGGCGGCAATGACGATATCGCGATGCGTTTCGTGCACAGCGAAATCGAAGCATTCGAGGCACTTGTGGAATTGTGTTTGCATTGGGATCCGGACATCTATGGTGGTTATGAAATCGAGACCGCCTCTTGGGGGTATGTACTGGAACGCGCAAAGCAACTTGGCTTCAATATCGCACCCTTGCTGTCCCGGGTGCCAACTCAGAAAGTACGTGAATATGTAGATGAGGATCGGGAGCATTTCACAGATTTGGATATAGAGGTGAGTGTGACTGCGTTTGGACTGTTTTTATTGTTGTTATTAGTTGCATTATTTGGAAATACCTGCATATCATAGTCATCAATGCAAAAGGCCAATTTTTGCAAAATTCTAAATTTCATTTGAAACCATTTTTTGTATGTTCTTTTTGTGTAAAGCAACTTTTTATTTTAACTGACTTCAAAAAAGAGGAGGAGGTTATCAATTCCTCGGAATATTTTTTTTATGTATGTTACCGCGTAACTTTGGACTACGTTAACCGATTTCTATAATTCTTTTTTTTTTGTAAGGAAAGGTGATACCTCAGAGGCGGTCCCATACTAATTAGGTTTAGATCCGATCATTGGATCATAAAAAAAATTTTTTTTTCAAATAATTTGGTCTCGAAAATAAATCTGGCAACGCTGCCAAGTAAATTTACGTGTGTTGTTTGTCGCGAAATAATAAAAGTTAATTCGTCTGGTATTCTATGTACTGAATGTAATAAATGGATCCATTCAAAGTGCACCGGTCTGGACTGCTAAGAATTTAAGCCTACTGCCTCGAAGGTCGGTCAAGAAAAGACTTTTAAGTATAAATGTACCGCCATCATAAGTGAGGTTACTGTCTATGTATCGAATGACATGTCAGAAGCTGATTGTGATGAGTCTGCCACCAAAATCATTGAGGGCATATTTGAAAAATACTTCATCCGTTCAAAATTGGCATTGAAAACAGCTTAGCAGATGTTAGGGCTGAGTTAAAGAAAATTAACAAACAAAACGAAACCATCACGAAACAGTACTCCGAAGTAGAGAAACGGGTTAGCGTACTCGAAAAAAAACATAAATAACATTGACTCCCGCACAGCTATTCCTGATAACTTCATAGCTGAAATAAACAACCGTAAGAAGAGGGAGAAAAACGTGGTAGCACTCAACTTGCCGGAGTCCACGAAAACTGATGACGTCGACTGACTTAGAGATGACCGTGAGAGGTTGGCTGCTGGCCCCACAGGAATTGATCGAAACTTTGCCAGCCCGGAAACTTCGTAGGCTCGGCCGTCCGTCCGGTAGTAGACCCCGACCGCTACTAACATAAACACCCTCAGAGGTGGTCATCTAACTGCGTTACGCAACGAGCTCAGTGAATCAGACCAGAAGGACAGCAAGACGATTAAATACATTGGTGGCATCCCAAGGTTGGTGGACAAACCGAAGTCACACACACGCAAGCGGGCAGACAGAGCGCCAAAAAACTAATAGTTTACTATCTAGCTTAAAGATTTCTTAACCTCAACCGCAAGCCTCGGAAGCAGATGTTATAGGTGCACTCGTCTATCTCGGATGACGAAGTTACCGATGGTACATATGCTATTTTTTAGAAAGGATAGAGATCAACTAACAAGCATCTACGACCGTGGTGGAGGTGTGTTCATAGCAGTCAAGAAGGGTATCCGTGCTAGTAAAATCAGGGGTCTAAAATGTGATCTAGTCATAGGATGTGTATATATCCCACCTCATTCACAACCGGAGACGTACAAATCCCACCTTATATCAATGTAACGAACTCGAATTGTAAACTACTAATCATTGGCGATTATAACTTTCCAAGTAGCTCGCGTCCTGAAAATTTTGAAATTTTCCCCACACCGAATATATTCTTAGTTGATGTCAACAAGCTAACAACGTGCCAAATTCCAAAGGCCAGCTATTGGACCTTTGTTTCAGGAAGTAATATTTCGAAAGTATATATACCCACCGTCCATGTCCGGGTAATATTGGCATAGACACATCATATCTGACAGGAAGTGACGCTGATTTAAAAAATTTTGACACCTGCTACAACGATGTTTTTACACAGCTCTTAAACCTAAATGCTCGAAAAGGCGTAGGCCCAGATGGGTTGCCACACGTGTTTTCGAAAAAATGTGCTATTCGCCTTTGCGAACCGATATGTCACATCTTCAGCAAGTCCCTTCAAACAGGGATCTTCCCTTCCGCTTGGATGTAGCTTATATTAGCCCTATTCATAAATCCGGCCCGAGATCGAATTTTTGTAATTATTGGCCAATATGCATCCAGTCGTCGCTGGGTAAGCTCCTGGAGAAAATGGTACTGCCTCATATGACCTTTGCCTTCAAAACCATTATAGCCACAAGGCAACACGAATTCAATGGTGGCAGGTCAACGGCTACTAACCTGTATAAGTATATTAATTACGCTTTGATTTCAATGAAACATACACCGATTTAAAGTATATAACTTGATCTAATCCAGAAATGTAAATCCCGATATATAGGGGGCGTGGCATCTGACATATAGACTAAAATGTGAAAACCACTATATCTCTAAAACTTATTATGCTGGAGAACTGAAACTTAGCACAGATGCATAAATTGTAAATACCCTACTTACGGCGAAGAGTGCTAGATAATGGGAAAGGGGGCGTGGCACTGCCCATACTAACTCAAATTCTCATATCGCCTATCTCTGCAACCGCTTATGCTAACTTCCCGAAAATTGACACAGCAACATATGTTGTCAATAGGTTTGTTCGTCGAAAATCCAGCAAGAATTATCCAACACTCAAAATATCAGAGGGTAAGAAAAAATTCTCTCAAATTCTCTCTCATGTTGAGAAACTTGCAAATTTCTGCACGAACGCAAATTTGCAGGAATTTGCAAGTTTCGCTGCCAGCTGGCGTCCACGGTTGCATTTCAAACATAAAAATTTTTTATAGAATTTTTAAAATTCTTTCGGATGGCCAAAAACAGGATATACATGTATATTTCTTGTTGTTCTGATTTTCTTTAACATACATTTCAATTTCTTCATCGTACTAGCTGTCGGGTTTCTTAAATCGACTCTGGTTGCAATTGCATTCCGATTGCGAATACCATTTTTTTCAGCCGAATTAAGTTCAAATCATTGGAATTAACTAAATTAATTATATCAACAATTATTTACTTCCTTTTTTCATAAAAAAATCGCTCGTGTTTATAAATTTTTAAATTTAACGAACTAATTTATTCAAATTATTGTAGACAAAAATGCAACCATGCGCCACAACCACATGTTTTTCGTGTTTGCAAATTCTTGCTGGCAAAATTTTTTCCAGCAAGAATTTGCAACTTCTCTCCAAGAGAACTGTCACTTTGCTCTCACAATTTTTGAGTGTTGGATAATTTTTTGGTCTGCACGAACGCGATTTGGGCAAAAATCGTGATAATTCGTACAAATTCGTACAAATTTTTTGCTCGACGAACAAACCTAATACCGTACTTACGGGCTTATTTACAGTTTGAATTGTTTGACATATCATTCAGTGATGAACATCTCATCTATACATATACATATACATATTTTTTATAAATGAAAATCGAGGTTCCTCTTTCGGTCTATTTCCAAAAGCTACTGAGGAGGAGACTTGGTAGAATTAGCATTAATCAATCCGGTATTAACGCTCATAGATCGATTTTCTCCTATAAATTCGCTATAGATTATGGTGGTGGACTTCAAAATAGTAATTCGCATAAAGGACTTAGTATTGGTGACAGGTAAAATTCGAAAGTGTATGAAAAAAGATGTCGAATTTCGACAACTGGGCGATACTAGTATTATTAAATGCGTGGTTAGACAAGAACAAGAAGGCAAAAACACGCCTTCTTACAGGGTTGAGTGTAACATCAAACACATTATGCACCGGGGAAGGGCAACATTTTTTGGAAGAAACGAAATCGCCATAAGCGTCAAATATTTTTAATTTTTGATATGCCTTGGATGAAGGTGAATCTCACGTCAAACTAAAATAATATAGGCCCTTATTAAGAGTTGCATTAGATTTTCGATCTTCGATAACCCGCGAATGTGAAATTCGTATTATAAGCTATGCAACCGCGTCGAAATTTTCGATGAGTATCGAATTTGCTGTCGAAAATATTTTTGCTTTCAATGCTGTAGCATTGTAAATGTGAAAAATGTATGATTTTGCGTTGGTTTACTTACTTCGTGGCGGCTAGAGGCACGATTACGATAACCGAGGCGACAAATTTTGAACAACGACATCGATAGTGGTTTTAGAAGTAAGTATAACGGTATAATTTTTTTTGATGGGAAACGAAAACTACAGGAGTTACCAAGGGTCAAAGGTAAAATTCATACTTTTTTTTTAAATCCAAATATGTACTTCGAAAATGAAAGCACGGATTTCAAAATTTTTCGTGTCATTCAATATGAATGCCTTTTATTCACGATACGAGGAAAGGGAAAAGAGAGAAAACTCCCAGGGAGTTTCTGTTCAGAATCGGCCTGTATAGCTGGCACGATAGAGAGATAGAGAGGGGGAGAGTGATGCACTTCCGTTGCACCCTTTCGTAAAGGTTTTTCAATTATGAAATGTTTTTTTTTTTTTCTTTTTAGATGAAATTGTGCGGCCGCATACTATTGGATGTTTGGCGTTTGATGCGCTCAGAAATTGCGCTCACTTCGTACAAATTTGAAAATATCATGTATCACATTCTACACAAGCGCTGCCCTGCACACAGTCATCGCGCACTCACCGAATGGTTCGAGGTGCCCTATACGCGATGGATTGTCATTGAGTACTATGTTGAGCGTGTGCGCGGTACGCTCGCGTTGCTGGAGCAGCTGGATCTCATTGGCCGCACCAGTGAGATGGCAAAGCTGATAGGTATACAATTCTACGAGGTACTGTCGCGTGGCTCACAATTTCGCGTTGAAAGTATGATGCTCAGGTGGGTAGACATTAGGGTGATTGCCTCGGTTTTTCCAAACCGGTTTCAACAATTTTTTTTCGATATATGTACCTATCACACGTTTAATAACATACAGAATTATTTAAAAATTTCAATTTTGTGAGCAAACGCAATCAAAGTTTGATCAGTTCATACAATGGGTATACCTTATGTAACCAACTATTTTATAGCTCAGAGAATTACAGGTTAGGTTGGGGTTAAGTTAACGCCGCGAGCCGATAACGGAATTTCGAAACTTGGATCCCTTAGAGCTCAGTATTTTTTCCATCTTAGCCTCGCTAAGGTCGGACTGTCTAAAAGTAAGTGTGGAGTTGATTCCACTTCATCTTCCTCTTGACAGCTGATACAAAAGGATCAGTCGAAATTCCTAGTCTCACCGCATGAATACCAATCGCACACTGGAATGTCAGAACCCCCTTCACTAGCCCTTGAGGTAACGTGTTTTAAAGTGCCCTATCAAAACATTTGCATATCAGTCTCTCTAGCGTTTTTAGCAAAAACGAAGAGACTGATAAGCCTAAAATCCCTATGGGAAACATGAGCAATTTTTCCAGTCTTCGGGATGTACCCAACCAACGATACCTTTAGAGCTCTTTGCAGCTGCGCAGGCATGATGCCATCAGTCCCCGGCGACTTTAATGGCTTGAACGAATTTATCGCCGAGGCCATGTGACGAGCGTCCAGAAGATCGAAGAAGTATAATATATCACAAAGAAGTATATTTGACTGTACTTCGAAGTACGAAGTACAAGAGCGAAAAAAGAAGTACTGTACTTTTGAAAGAAGTACGGTTGGTCACATTAGGTATACCAAAAGACAGATGGAAAGACACATATCTTGGCCATTTTTGGGAAGTTTAGTCCTCTGTTAGGCTGAGAATATTCTCCTTATCTGGGTTATTAATTGTATGTTTAAATCTTCAAAAACGTAAATTTTGAGTTACATCTCTATAATAATGAACGTGCGATATATAGGCGGTTTTTTTTTTAAATCTTAATTTTTCGAATATCGAAAAAACCGGATTCTTTTTTACCGTTTTTTTATTTCGCATAAATCTTGACCTCTCAATAAAAGTTTACAGTTTTTCGAAGTTTTTAAGCCTTTTTCAAGTGGACTACTCATTTGGAGATGAAGAGTATATAAAATTTGATTCCAATAAATCAATGTTTAGCGCTTAAACGTTTTCTACGTGTTTGACCGAGCTCCTGCGATTCGCGTTCTGCTTCTTGATGTTGTGACACAAATGGAGAGATCTACTTTTTCACCCCACCTCCGAAGATGTTTTTTTATTGAACAAGTACACTCGCTATTTGAAAATTTTTTCTTTGAATTGTTGCTGGAACCAGAAATTGAACCATGGACCTCCCGTGTGGTAGTAGGCACATCTAAGAACTCGACCATGACGACGCGGTCAGAAAAAATGTAAAAAAGTTAATATAGGACCAAACGTGAATTTTTCACTGATTTTAATTTGCTTAACACTAACTTGAAACCCGGTTTTGAAAAAATACGTATAATCGAACATCCGGTACAAATAAAATAATAAAAAGTAAACTTATATTTTTCATTTGAAGGATAGCAAAGCCTCGTAATCTGGTACCACTGTCGCCGAGCGTACAGCAACGCGCACACATGAGAGCCCCTGAATATTTGCCTCTCATTTTAGAACCGCAGTCGCGGTTTTACTCGGATCCAGTCATAGTATTGGATTTTCAAAGTCTCTACCCGAGCATGATAATCGCTTATAATTACTGTTTTTCCACTTGCTTAGGACGTGTGGAACATCTAGGACAGTAAGTATTCATTTTACCTCACCTCTTGCGCGCCTACAATACATTTTTTTCTTATTAAATAACTAATTAAATCCACTTTTGTGCAGCTCTCCTCCATTCGAATTTGGAGCGTCACAGTTGCGCGTTTCGCCAGCATTGTTGCGCCGTTTGGTGGAAGATGACCTCATTTCCATATCGCCCTGTGGTGTGGTGTTCGTTAAAGCCTCTGTTCGCGAGGGTATTTTGCCGCGCATGCTCAGTGAAATCCTGAATACTCGTCAAATGGTTAAGCAGTCCATGAAGCTGGATAGATCGAACTCTGCGCTACAGCGTGTACTACACTCCCGTCAGCTGGGTCTCAAACTCATGGCGAATGTAACTTACGGATATACGGCGGCTAATTTCAGTGGCCGCATGCCGGCTGTCGAAGTGGGCGATTCGGTTGTTGCAAAAGGCCGCGAGACGCTAGAACGCGCCATACGAATGGTCGAGTCGAACGAAAAGTGGCGCGTGCGGGTCGTGTACGGTGATACTGACTCGTTGTTTGTGCAGGTGCCTGGACGAAACCGGGAGACGGCTTTCAAAATAGGCGAGGAAATCGCAGAGGCGGTCACCAAAGACAACCCGCAGCCGGTCAAATTGAAGCTGGAGAAAGTGTATCAGCCCTGTATACTGCAGACAAAGAAACGTTATGTTGGCTACATGTACGAAACAGCAGATCAAACGGAACCCGTGTACGAGGCTAAGGGCATTGAGACAGTGCGCCGAGACGGCTGTCCGGCTGTTGCAAAGATGCTAGAGAAGGTATTGCGCATCCTATTCGAAACGACGGATGTGAGCCAAATCAAACAATATGTTTGCCGCCAATTTAGTAAACTGCTGGCTGGACGTGCCAATTTGCAAGACTTAATATTTGCGAAGGAGTTCCGCGGATTGAAGGGTTACAAGCCGACGGCATGCGTGCCGGCGCTGGAATTGACGAGGTTTGTAAAAATACAAATGATAATAATTATTGCCGAAAATTGATTTGCTCCGTGTGTAGAAAATGGGTACAGAGTGATCCGCGCCGAGTGCCGCGTTGTGGTGAGCGCGTTCCATTCGTAATTGTCAACGGGCCACCAGGCGTGCCATTGATACGGCTTGTGCGCAGTCCGCATGAAGTACTCGAGGACGAAGGCTTGAAGATCAACGCTGTTTATTACATTACCAAGGCTATTATACCTCCTCTTAATCGCTGCCTCCTTCTCATTGGAGCCGATGTGAATGAATGGTAAAATATTCGGCGAATTATATTGAAATAAACTATTGATTGTCGCATTGTACCATCCATCCCAGGTTCGCTAGCCTACCGCGCAAACTTCTACTCGCACCACCAGTATCCGCAGCTAATAAACTCAATAGTGGTAATTATGTGGCTACAGCGCATCAGCCGAAGAAAAGCACAATTTCACAGTATTTCTCAGTTACGAATTGTATAACTGACTGTGGGCGCCAGACAAAGCAGGGCATCTGTGAGGTATGCGTACAACAACCACAACGAACATTTGTTACGCTGCATGCAAAAATGGCTAAAATTGAACGGGGTTATCAGCTGGTGCAGCAGATATGTCAAGCATGTTGCGGGCGAGTAGGAGAGTTGAATTGCTGTTCCCTAGACTGCCCAGTATTGTTTGTGAGTGAGGTGAAGCGGCGAGATCTACAGCAACTCGAACATATGCGCAGTCTCTTAGACGAGAGGTTTTAATTTTTATATGGAATGTCGTACATGGATGCGTAAAAGACAACAGGATTTTGTTAACTGCAGGTTTGGACGCGTCACATGTTGACCTCTTCACACTTTATTAAATCAATATCAGGTTTAAAATTTCCAAGTATTTTATTAACATTTTGTAATATTTAGTGCACAAAATGTATCGAGCCCATGTAGCGAGCGTAGGGAACATGCATGTATTGTATTAAAAAATGTCACAACTTGTACGTACATAATTATGTACTCATGTACGAATGCACACCATGATGATGGTAGTATTGTTACATTACTGTTTTTTTTTTTACAAATTACAAAATAAAATTTTGCCAATAGATGTACAATTAATAATTTGTGATTTGTTGTTTAATAAATAAAGTAAGGTAAACACTGATTTGTTTTCCCTTACATTTAATAATTAATTTTAATAATTTTATGGCACTCATGCAAATGTGAGTGAAAGGTGCTGCAATAATCCATAAAAAGCCAATTTACAATTTCTTTAAACGCTAAAAATTTCATAGCAATTCGAACAATATCTCAATCAGTGTATAATCATGATTGTTTACAATAAAAAATTGCAAACAATTCTGAACATAAAAAAAAATCTATTGCATGCAATTATCCACATTTAAAATGTTGGTGCATATATATCTATCTAATGCATGGGCAGCGGTTCCAAATATTTTGAGCATACAAATTACTTAATGACGTTATACATTTAAGGCAAAATTCAATTGTAAATATACATACAAATATTGAAAAAATAATAATATATTGTAAATGTGTGTGGTGCAAATTTCTGCATAAACGAATCCTTGCACGGCTATATAGCTACTAGGTAGGCGGCTCGTTAGAAGTGTGAAACAATGATAACGGTTGACGGGTGGGTTTGTTTGTGTTGCTTTTGTAATTGCGCACCACTTACATAAGTGTGTCGCTGCTTAATGATTGTGTTTGTGTTTACTACACAACTACTATAAATTCCTACTGAAACTGGAACTACATGTCCATTTCAAACATCATAGCGTTCTTGTGTGCATCGGCATCCGACGATTCCTGAGACTCCAGACGTGAACGTGCCGATTTGTGGCCACCCTTTGCTGCGAAGTGTTGCTGTTTGTTGGCAGTGAATTTGTTGGCATGTTTGCCACTAGCATGTGTCGGCTTATGAATACTGTTGTTGTCGGCATTATCGCCGCCGCTGGATTTCGATGCGAAGTACGTTGCATGAGACTCAAAGCCCAGTGGCTGAAAGGAGACCAAAGGGGAATTGTTAGAAGAAAGTAGCAATAAAATACATATTTCTAAAAAAAAGAACTTTATTAAATCGAATTATGCAGTTTGTCGTTCTAATGCCTCCCTCCCTTCTACTCTATTATATATGTATGCATATGTATGTACCTACACACACACATTCACACCTGCAGCGAATGTTAATAGCATATCGACGATGGGGAATAAATATGCAATAACAACATTGGGCATTGAAAAGGCTATAAACAAACGATTTCAGAAATAACATTGTCCTACTTTTGCGGCGAAATGCTACAATCGGTGCAGTAATTAAGCTAAGAAATAAATAAACAAAGGCGCTGAACAAACAGTCGACGAGTGATTACGAATAAAATGCACGAGTGACCGTCTCATATTTACGTAAACATGTCGGTACATACATATTAACACAAGAGATTTGTATAATTTAAGGAAGGAATAAAATCTTAATGGCTAAATTGGCGTGCGCCAGACATACAGCCGCAGACGGGACGACAAGTGGCACTTGTTAACTTACACTATATACATACATATGTAAATACATACATACATACATACTATGTATATCGGTGGTTGTTCATCATCTGTAAATGGGTACATCAAGTGGACATCGCTATCATTAGTTTATTTATTTTCCTTTAGCAAGTCGTTGTTCATATTTATATAATACCTACATATATACATACATACTATTTACATATGGGTGTTTCCATAAAAATTTAGAATTAGACTGTTATGGTACTATGTATTCATTTCCTTTGCATAACTGCTTTATCTTTAGATTTAAAATAACCAAGCACACACTAACCTTACTGTTGTCTTCATAATCAGCGGAATCGCCTTCGCTGAGGCGACGCTGCAAAGCACGCTGTTTGCGATCACGACGTTTTTGATTCTTCTTTCGTTGCCCCAAAATACTAGAATTTAGCCTAAAATAAAGGAAGATTGTAAATTTAAAAGTAATTTAAGCACACAAAACAAAACAAAAAAATAGATCATTTATATTGAATAAACGTTGCTCAATTGTTTTATTAGCCGCTCAACGAATTCAATTAATTTATAAATTGAGCAATTTAGCGATAAAAAAGTCCATATTTTGCTACAAAAAATTAACTAAATATTACTTGTTTTAAGTTTTTATTTCAACTCAAAGCAAAAACTCACCTAAACACTTGCTCCTTGATAACCTCATTAAATCTAACAGTCTTTTTGCAACTCTCCGAAAGTCCATTGGAGACATTCTCCTCTGGTATGTCGCTGAATGATTGTGAGAAGCGCAAACTGCTCCCCACGCCACCGTCCACAGAGCACGAGAACGACGAGCATTCATCGATAGACGAACAGCTATCCGAAATCGACGGACGCGGTCCATAGCGGCTGTAGCGTTTCAAAATGCCCTTAAAAGAGGGAGGTAGAGTAGAGCCACCGCTACTCACAACGCTATCGCCACTACGGCACTCCGAATAGCTTCGCTGCTTTCGTTGTTGCATGCCATTTGGTACAGCCACCGACTGTGTTTGCGAAGCGGGCGCAATCACGTCGGAGCGTTCTGGTGATGAGTTTTCATCCGGCGAGTTGGACGAATCACCGTTTATAGTTTTGGAAGCCTCTTTTAGAAATTGTTTCTGCTGTTCCTGCTGTTGTTGCTGCTGTTTCTGATACACTTTAATATCATCGCACACAGATTCGGAAAGAGAACGGCGTTTCTTATTTTTCTTCTTTTGTTTTTTACTCATTTTCTTCGGAGCCGCTTCGGTTGCATGGGATAGCCCATCCTCGTCTTCGGTTGTGTTGGCCGTACAAGTGGACTGAGTTTCGTTAGTTGGCTTTATTTCAATTTCGACAGAGCGCTCACATTCCGAACGTTCCACCGAAATATCCAGTGAGGAAGAAAGTGATATCGGTGGCGTTGGTGGTGACTTCTTACGCGATTGTCGACACTTGTAGCCTATTTGTAATTTACCCTTTATGGTGTACTCTTTCAGGTCACTGGCATCGATACCGACTAAGTAGTTTTGTATACTCTCACAGGAGGTGGCTAAATTGAGATTCAGTACTACATTATTTTCCCAAGCCTCAGCTTCGCAAGAGGATATTTGCGCATTGCAGGCCTCGGGTAGTTGCAAGTAAAATGCGTAATGTGTGGGATAATAGCCGCTACCAATCGAGGAAAACTGCAGATGTGCACTCTTCATACTTTTGAGCATTACAATTGATTCCGGCTGCACATTGCGGACATGTAGGACCAAAGACATGACGTTGTCTAATACATTGCAATCGAATTTGGGGGGCAGCTGGTACTGAATGGAGCTTTTGAGGAAATTGCTTGGAACACTAACCGTCGAAGGTAATTGTGGTGTTACTCCAGTAGGCACGCACGATCCAAGTGCTATGAAGTAATGAATCGAAAAATATACTTTGAAATGATTTTGTCATTTTTTAACATTAATAACAGACCCAAAATATTTAATTCAACATAAAAATTTGTGCACCTGGGCTACACTACGAAAATGAAACTTCACTCGACAAATTTTTTTTTCGTTTCATGTATTATATATGTATGTATTTATGTTTATAAAGCGGTCGAACAAATTATCGCCGCACCACATTTTGACAAGTTTAAACATTTTATTTATTTTTATTTAATTTTGGTTTTTTTTTTTTATAAAACTAAAGTTTTTTCTTTAACAAAACCCGTGAAAATCCAGGTTTCAAACTTTATGCAATATAAAAAAAAAAAAATTCAACAAACTTTCGTAAAAATTTCCTAGAAAGATTCTGAGTATGCCGTTTTGCGCCCCACTGAATTCTAGTAGAATGAAGTACAAGTTTCAAATGGCTAAAAATTGCCGCTGAATTTTTCGATTTTGTTGTCGAAGATGTTACGGTTTTCTTCTATGCAAAAATTAATTGTGTGGGACAAAAAAGTCAACGGTAATTTTTAGCCATTTGAAACTTGTCCTTTATTCTACCAGAATTCCATGGGCTGCAAAACTGCATACTCAGAATCTTTCAAGTTAATCTGTTCTTTTAAGTTGGCCTTGGGGCCAAATTATATTTAGTCTTAAGTTAAATGTTATCTAGTCTGTAAGGTTCTGTAAAACCATAGATAGTAAATTAAATAAAAAAGCTCGAAATTTTTAGGAGTTTGTTGAATTTTTTCGTGACAATTCTTTAATTCACTACCGCCGGTAAAGAAGTTTCACTTCAAAAATCCGTCGATAAATACATTTAGAAACCGTTACCTTTATATTTGGAACGTGCAAAAATTACATGCAAATTATACTCACAGTTTGCATTGTCTCCTGATGTGGTGTTGATGTTTTCCTCAACCGCATCACTTAGCTCTTCAACCGGTGATTCGCTATTTGTCTGCAAATTTGCATCTTCGCGAATGTCACTCTCAACGCCGCTGTCCTCGCGATTAAGTTGAAACAGTGTATCGTGCATAGCGCGTTGCTTTTTTGGATTATTCTGCACAACTGGCAGCGTAATAGCCAACTGTCGCTTATCCGTATCGAATCGTGCCTGACCGCGTTTGTCGTTCACAGCATAAGGGAGATCTAAATTGAGGCGATACTTGGCACCAGAGCGTTCGCTCAATAAATATAATGACTTGGCAGTCACGTCTAATTTGCAATCGGCAGTCGACTTGAGTAGAGGCAACTCAATCTCAATGACCAGCTCACGTGGTACCGTCACACTCAGCTTAGCATCCAGTTCGTAAGTGTATTCGGTGAGATCAATGTCACGACGATGCTTGATGACGTATTTGGGAACGTTGAATTCGGGGTTTGTTGTTGAATTCTGTGTTTTCATCGGTATTAATTTAGGTGTGTCGGCATCAGCTGAAGGCCTCGCCGGCGATATGTCATCAAGTGGATGTGGTTCAGCCGACTCCGATGGAGCATTTTTGGATAATTTTCGTATCACAATTGGCCGCGCCATGCCCTTAAATTGCAGTTTCGGAAATTTCAAGTTCGTGCGATCTAATTTTACCTAAAACGAAAATGAAAAGTAGCACAGAAGATACGTTTATTATTTGATTTTTTTTTTCATTCCGTTTGGAATCTGCTCACCTTGAATTCCCTTTCTACAGCGTCCAGCGCCGTATCGATGAGGCACTTACGGAAAGCGGAATCTCGTTGTGACAAATACAATGCTTCCGGATGGAAAATCACATCGTACACTCGACAACGTTTGCTCTCTGCATCCACGTCTTCACGTGGTGGTGCCTGAGCCAGCGGAATGGCCCAGCTAAGACCGCGATTTCCCGTTTCTGGGTGTAGACACACCTCATTTGTTGGACGCGCCACTTCAGCATTTTTCGCCACATTTACAAAACACTTTGTTACCCCATCGGCTGAGGTTTTAATCACGAATCCCGGTTCTGGATTTATAAAACGAACGTCGACACCGCGTTCCGCTTCGAACTGTTTGATTTCTGCTTCGTAGAGTTTACGATTTTCCGGAGATTGTATCTCTTCACAATATTCGAAAAATAATTTACGAAATTCTTCTTTTTTTAAAGCATCTTCGATACGCGCAAACTCCTCCTTGGTTATATCAAGATATTCCGAGTCTCCGCCGCCGCCACCACTGCTACTATTTCGTCTTGGGGGCGGCGGGCAATGTTTATTTCTCGCGGAGGAGTTTTGTATGGCGGCAGATTCGGACATTTTTGTAACACAAATTTCAGTCGAAATGTATGATAACTTTTTTTTTGACACACTCTACAAAAGTTAGATCGATAAAAAATTCTTTTTCTAAACACCGATTTTTCAGCACTTTTTTATTTAGATTGATTATATGTATTTCCAAGGGAATTTTTTTTATATTTGCATTTATTTCCCTATTTTCAACACACTGTAAGTCAGTTTTTAGAGTTATTTAGAATGTTGATTTATGATTTATGTAGTTTTGTGGTTGCTAATGCGTTTGAGAAGGACTTTCACTTCTTTCGGAATAAAAGATGAAATCCTGAAATTAAAAAAAAAAAAAATTACTACTATAATAAAAAACTACCCACGAAAAAACGGTAGTTCAACGTTTTGATAAGTTTCTAATTTTCTTTTAATGTTCATTAATTTTTTATAAAGTATTATTGGCAGGTGGAAAAAAGTCATGGTGACCTAGTCAATGCCAATGTTGCCGAGTCGTGCATTTTAGTCTAATTTATGACGTCCGCAATGAGGCTGATTAAGTGACTGGATACTTTTCTTACTGGAGAACTCATTAACAGAGCTAATTATTCTGCAATAAAGCTATTTATATACAGTGGTGGCCACATAATTAGGCACACTACTTCTTTATAAGTTTTGGCCACTTATTTTTTCTTTGTTGATTTTTAAAAATATAATGATTATTTTAAAAAATGAACTTAAGCTTATTTACCTGAACTGCTTTCAGAAAAAGTAAATGACTATCCTAATAAGTACCGTTTATGCAACACTAGGCTAGTATTCATGTTTTGATACATTTCTTACTCAGTTGTGCTCTCTGTTTTCAAGTTACCTTGTTCACAGCGCACACGGTGTTTTTAATTTAGTTATCTGAGTTTTATATGCACTTATGTACATATGTATGTATGTATGTATATGTGTTAATTTTCACATTGCCAACGCTCACCCAACCTCTCTTATATTCATAAATTCTGTGATACAAATTACTAAATACTCGCTTACTACGCATCGCTTTTAACATACTTTAACGGTACATATGTATGTATATATGTACATTAGGGTGGTCCTTAAATGCAGGAAGCAAATTTTTACATCAGATTTCTAAGTCTTCACCCCCACGTCGATGATACTATAATTGAAGATATCACATAAATTTTCGCCCCGATTGGGGTCGGTTACGGGGTGGCGCATAGGGGGCAAAGTTCAGATTACCCTATGAAGTCGTCTTAACCGACTCCAATCGGGACCAAAATTTATATGTGATATCTTCGACTATGGTACTATTGATTTTGGATATCAGATTAAAATAAAATTAGTTTTAATTGTTTGAGTCTCTATAGAGGATACGCCTTAACCGCTAACCGCCTTCAATTGGGACCAAAATTTATATGTGATATCGGTGACCGTGGTATTACCGACAGAAAAAAATCGTTCATTTGATTTTTTAAGGACCACCCTAATGCACATATCTTTATGAATCTCTAGCAATTATTAAGGTATTTTTATATGGTTTATATACATACATATGTACGTAAAAATGCAGGCATACGTATTATATGTATGTATGTATGAACTATATGTATTTATGCGCGCATATGTACTTAATTATACGAACAAGTACAATCTATATAGAACATAAGCATTTTAATACACACAAACAAATACAAAATAGATGGTCATTAAAATTTTAGTAAAACATCAATCAGATATTTTGTATCGGGATAGACGAGCAAAATGTGATATCGCTAGTTTATTTTATTACCAACTTAAAATGTTAGAAGGTTCTTGCACAAATTAAGATAACAAATAAATAAATTGGTAAATAAGAAAAGCTAATAGAAAGGAAACATTTAAATGAATCTGGTGATGACGTTGTTGCTGTGTATCCGGTGATGACTTTGTTTGTTAATATCATCAATGGAATGTAGTTTTCGATTTTCTTTCCTCAACGTTTAAGATATTGTGATTTTAAATAATATCAACAAAATTTCTGTGAAAATCACATTTACCTATATGTATCAAATACCTATCAGCAACAACCCTTATTATATAATAAACTAATTTCTGCATTTAGATCTAAGCAAATGTGGTGGTATATGGTTATTAGCAGGGAACGGATTTTATGGAAATTGCCTTTTTTCTGTTAAATAGGTAGAGTATATTCGATTTAGCTTTCTCTGATTCCATATATACACATTTGATGTTGCCTTTTTTAAGATATTTGCCTTTCCTACCTTAAAGGCCAGTACGCAGCGCTCAATAAAAGCAAAACCTTCATATAAAATGGCGTATAAGATATAACTAAGAAAATTTCTTGTGCTCTTCTTCCTGACAATATGAAGGTTTTAAACGTTCCATATTTAAATTGGGCGCCACTTGTATCAACTCAAGTCGAGTGCACGTTTAGTACATTCAAGGCTTTTCTTCACGAAAATCGAATGAAAATGCTACCAGTAAATTTTAAAATGCATATTGTGGTTTAATGTTACTACAACTATAGAGATTAAAGTTTTGTGAGTTAAAAACTCGAAAGGAGAAAATATACAAAGATTCAAAATATAAATTTTTCATATAATGAAACTAGTTCATAGTTTTTCTCTTTTTTACTTGTAAAATAAACATTTTTAAACAAATGGTTTTTGCCCGTTTTCGCGATTTCTAGTGCCTATTTCGCTATTTTATTGTGCCTTTTCTAGCCTATTTCATTATTAGTTTTTGCCTTTTTTATAGGTTTTTAGGTCCTAAAAATCCGTTCCCTGGCTATTAATTTGTATAATTGATTCAGAGGTATTTTCTTTATATAAATTAAAATTAATCACAATGTTTAGTTTCTCGAAAAGCAAACATTGGAAGGTACATATTTATTTAATATTTTTTTTTTGTCAAACTTGTTTTCATTTTTTTGTTTGGAATACCCAAACCGAAACAAATTTAAAAGCACGAAACCAAAACCGAAACATTTGGCAAAACCGAAACCGAAACCGGAACGTTATTTTGAATCGGTTTCATTCTTTGAATAATATATTCTTTGACGTTTATTATTTTCATATATGTAGATAGTAGAGTACAGGAATAAACATTTTAGAATAAAACTAAACACAGGGTCACCCAGCGGTCTCCCAGCGGTATTCCAGAAAAACAATTGTTTGTTCAAAAAAAGGTAAATTTATTATTTTATTAAGTAATACCGGTTTTTAGCTTTCGAAAAAAGAAATAAAAATCTGCTCAAGGCCAAGAATCCCAGGATTTTCGGGACCTTAACAAGGCCGGGATCCCGGTGTCCCGGGATTAACATTCCTAGTAAGTACATACATGAGTACAATGTATGTATGTATGTACCTATCATTTGATATTTATATATTGTTGGTTTTAGTTGACGAACAACGTGATTTAGGCGTGATTCCAAGCTCGTTCTTGGTAGATAAATATGTGCTATATGCCCACAGCAAAATATAGTTTTATCAATATTTCGAAATTTTTACATGCATATGTACGTATGTATGTGCAAAGATACGCGCACATGCAAAACCATGGAGCTATCCAATATTGTTGTTGTCATAGCAGTAGGAGCTACATATATCGTGAATACCGGCTCCAAATCGATATAGGTTTAACAAACACAGAAATTAAAAAAAAAACCAACAAAAACTAACGGCAAACACCGGTTTTCCTCCCTACGGTCTACAACTAACTACCGACCCCAACATACAACCAAGGCTGCTTACATTTCAACTATGCACACACTCCTGCGACCGCGACGGACGACTGCGTCGACAGGCCACTCGCTACTGCTACAAAACTAGATTTGCCTTGGACGCAAGTTGCACCGCCGGCGACCCGGTTCGTATGCCATTGCATTACATGTGTGGTCACGCGTTTGACGAGCGATGTCAGTGACATTTGCACTACTTTTCCATCCAAGATCTTTTCTCTACACCGAGTCGGTGAGCAAGAATGTAATTCGACTGTAACGCGGCAACGTAATGTTAAAAGTGGATAAGGCTTTTAAAATATGTACCCTTTTTATGACTACTTGGAACTAGACTAAAATTAATATGTACATACATACATGTATTTAATTATAACCACACTGAGCTGATTTAATAATCTCTAGATTTTAGTACCCCGCTAAACACAGGTTTTTTATGATGCAAGTTTTACTTTCCGATGCTAAAAAAAAGTTTGGTGTTAAAGCATATTTTATAAACACTTACATAGAGATTCCAACAGATTTTCAAGAGCACGACAGATGGTATTTTATCGCATACAAATATTTTATTTAATATTTCTTAAAAATTTCCAAACGTTCCAGCCTCGTGTTTTCTACTGCGCAGCGGTCTTTTTCGTTTCCATCCCCATATTTTCTAAATTTTATTTTTGTCATCTTTTTTGCTTATTCTGTTTTGGAGCGGAAAACGGAAAACATCTGGTAAAATTTGTTAGTGACGACAAAATACGGCTACCGCTTTAGAAGTTACCCGGTATTTATGTAGTCCCTCAGGACTAAACTAAATTCTAGGACTGTTTAGGTTTGCCTCAGGGTTTTTTTTTTTGTATTTTTAACCTCCCTAAATGCTGTATTTTAAAATTCGCAAATTTACTTGCTTGTATTAAATTTTGGGCTAGCAATTTGATGTTACTTCTTGAGTACCCGGTTCAAAAGCTAGACGTAACTAATTACACTTCACTTATTAGAAAACCAAGAGAAAAGCAAAATGAGGTGAGCGGCGGCCTGCACAGCTGTGAAGAAAAATGAAGTGCACGATGTTTCTGGAACTCCACTCCAGCTGACAGTGTTGGTTAGCAGTTAAATTACGTATGCAAACATCGTAAATAGGTATGTATGACTTCAAACTCACGTTTGCTAACGTTAGGTAAAATGAAAAAATCTCGATAAGTGATAACGAAA